GGACCCGTGTTTGTCTCACAATGAAAGCCACGGACTTAAAACGTTTTATGCTTCGCTTCATTTAAAATGACTATGGAGACAACCATCACCTTCGGACCAGAGACATATCACCTGAGAACAACGGTAGCTTTATAACTAAGTGTTACTCGTGTTGTTTCTAATTGTTTTCACTCTTCAATTGTGACTTTTCTTGCGTTCTTGTGTATATGTAAGTTATATATAAAATAAGTTGGCGACCAAAATTTTTCCATTAGTCGCTCGCTGGCTCCCGGACGAAAAAGTTAATTTCGAGCCCTGAGTAAAACATTTTTTTTTTGTCAAAGAGACAGTGCTTTAGGTTTTCTTCAGAGTATGAGCTGTTCACTGACCGCCGAAGTATTCGCATATCCCATTTTAGGATACATTGTCGATACAGAAATAGCAAATGGACCCTGTTGGACCGAGCTGACATGGATTAAGAAAATTACTGACAACATGGAACTAATTCTGTGGAAAATTCAGCAAAGAGATTAAGAAAACAAACTAGCAGGGTGCAATATCTTACCTGAAGCTTTTCTAAGCATCTGTTCTGAGGTGAGTTTCAGAATCATGCGAAGAAAGTCGCGGGCGAAAGCACTCCTTTCCTGTTCAAACAGCACAGAACCACACGTAACGCGCTATTCCAATACTTTCACTCCATCTCCCGTCAGCAAACCTGCAACAAACAAACGAAAAAATAAAGAACTGAAACCTCTCCAGAAACAGCTACTGTTGAAAAAGAAAAACAATTGTTTACCACGTTCTGCCAATACTACACCACCGCCATGCCTTGCTCGAATACTATGCTGGATTACACACTACTACGTCATGTACCTGTACTGTAGTGTATCCTAAAAGTCCATTCTTGTTGATTATTTCCTAGTCCTCGTGTCAACAGCTCGGACTAGATTGCACACGGAGGCTGTGCTCCTCAAAGATTTTGGTAGGGGTGTGCGGCTCCAACCTTGAAACCTGTGCCCTATTTCAGATTAAAATCTGTGACTTTCCCATGCCCTTTTTCTGACCTGAGCCAAAACTCGATAGCCCTCTGAGGCCTCTAAAATTAGTACACGGCTCTAACTTAAGAAATTAGCTTCCATTTGCGTGGCACTTGAGAAGGGCTACAAATTAGCTAGCGTTGATAAGGAAAAAATAGTTCCTTGTTAACTAAATGTCAAATGCAAAGCCAGAGTGAAAAAAACAACCCCTACTTCAGACCAAATTGGTCAAAATCTATTCCTTTGTTCAGTCCAAAACAGCTCAAATCTATACCCTTTGGGGTCGCATATACATACACAGTCCATATAAGGAGTACCGCCTAGAGCGCCATGCAGTATTCAAAACATACCTTAGAAGTTACTTTCGGAATTCTACGGTGATGAAAAAATGGAGAAAAACTAAGTCTTCTTGGGGAGTTTATGCCAAGATTTATGGAAGGATCTTATTATTTAGCCCTTGCACTACGGGTGAAGCTCCCTCTAGGGCGTAAAAAAAATACAATACTTACGAAATTAAACCTGAATAATAAACTGCGCAAGAAAATGTGCAATGTTAAATTTGGGAGTAATGGTGTTTAATAACGTTGAAACTAAGCCCAAATACCACACAACATTGCATCTTTTCTAGCGAACGTACATCAACAGAGAACCTCCTCAAATACACTGGTAACACTACATTGCCTTTAGACAAACCGAAATTCATATCTCAATCTTTCAAGCTAAATATATTTTGTCCGTAAGTTTCATTTGGACTCGTGAAAGTATATGAAATTAGTCTAGTGACGAGTTAGACAACTGTACAGACTGGAACGTACTGCAATATGTTGTCCAGTTTCGGACCAGTTAAAAAATAAATTCAATTTTTCCGTCGTGCTTGTAAATCCCTAGAAAACGAAATATAATAAAAGGAAGACGCCGGGACATTTCACTGAGCTTTCGAATATGTTTCAAACTTGCAGAAGCCTCCCTTCTACTCAGGTAAGTAATTTTTCACGGGTTATATTTATGCTATTCACTGGGTAGTAATACTAGCGATAGGTCTGATATTACAAATGTGATATTTTGAATGGAGCTCTTTTTACATCTACATCTACACTTAGGTTTTGTCGCGAAGATACTCGAACAGTTCAAGTGGTCGGAACCTCGATTGATTTCCTGGAGTTTAATGTTTCTGAAATAACGGAAGTCATAAACCTTGACTGTGTTTTGGTTTTAATGGTGCGCCAAGTTTTTGTCCGCGTCTGGGTTCAGCACGTAGCTAACACGCCCAGGAGAACTCCCAAATAAAATGGACGGGGGTGCCCCTCGTACCTTTCAGGGGTTAAAAACGCGGTTTTGGTACCTTTTATGGTGTTCGGCCTCAAGAGATCATCAGCGGGAGCTTTTGCGGTACCTTTTAAGGTATTGAGCCGAAAAAAAATGACAGGACATGATCTATTGTTTTAGAGCAGGAGCCATAATCGGGGACGGAGACCGTAAGTCTCGGGATTCGCGCGANACAGCGGAACATACCTAAATTCGACACTGCCTTACTTCACTCAAACTGGAGCAGCTTACGACGAAAATACTTAAGCAAAATTTCAACAGACGTAAACGGGTTGAGTTGTGGGCCAAAAACATGAACAATTTCGGGAATTTCGGAGGCCATTTTCCCCGCGCGACATCCGCAAAAATCCTCGCAGCATGTACGCGCGTGTATCGCAGGCGATGGTGCAATTTGTTCTAAAAATAGAATTATTGTCCCATATCATGGGGACAACTCTATTACTAGAAATGGCGCGCGCTTACGGTCTCCGTCCCCGATTATGGCTCCTGTTTAGAATTAGTACCTCTTAGGGGTACTAAACACTCAAGCCACGCCCACAAAACAGGATCTTGGCACCTCTAAGGGGTTCTTTTCAAAGTTTCCGACGAGCACCCCAGTCCATTTCAGGGCGGTGAGGGAGAGTTCAAGGACTGAATTATGCAGTTTTCATCACCTTAAAACTTTGAACAAGAAGAAAAATTATCCGTTTTACTATTTTCAAATATCTCTTTTCGTTCCAGAGATATTCAAGTTTTCAAAATATGCAAATTAGCCAAATTATGACGTCATACACTCGACCAAATTTTGATAAATATGACGAAGAAAGATATCTCAGCCAATTTGTATTAGAAATGTTTGATTATTTCCAGTAAGATTGCCAATGGTGCCTCGTCTGTATGACCCAACCAGCATATAGATATGTTAGGTGGCGTTTGTGGCCTTGTTTAATGTTTTTGGAGCTGAAAATAACCCTGGGGGCGGGAAGATGAGAGACCCTGGGAACGAGGTTGCACCAATACATATTGAGAAAAGTTTTAAATCTCGCGAAGTATATTTTTTTGTTTGGGATCAAGCAACAAGGAACTGCCGCATAGTGCTTTTGGCATTGTTGCTTATGTTTCGGTCCTATATTAGGAAGCGTTCATGACCGAGTAACCAAATTGAAAACCAAGCAGACCTTAACAAGACTAGTAAACATGCTATTGGAATACACCTAACACTATTAATCTGGAAAACTGATGGAAATATGGTATATGGTGAGTTAAAGAGAGCTTTGGTCTAAACAAATGCGCAGAAAATATCTTAACATAACGACTGAACACTACGAGGAATGGGAAAACGGAAATTTTTAATTGCACGATTCTAGAGTTACACAAGCTAACGTGGGGAGACTTGTGATAAGGTCTGGACATATAAATCTTATAGATCTATTTCATACATTAAATAAAACGGTTACTATGAAAGAAAAATTCGTGCCGACACTCTGCCAACCTTTCGCTCTTGCAAGTGGATCTCGTCCCCAGAGCCTGCGCATTTTCTATCAGCGGTGACCGAACGCTCTCGATTCTTGGTGCTAGCCAAATGGATCGCGGGGTCTGGAAACTTTGTTCGTATGTTTTGCAAGCTAAAAGGTATTAACTTCCGCTGTCGTGAAGTTGAAACTTTTTGTTTGGATACTTTCTCGCTATGATTTTGTTGTGTCTTACAGTGTTTTCCCTTTTCAGGAGTTCTGTGATATTACGAAGGGCGTTGAATCCATTCAGATGTTTAGAGTTGTCGTTAAACTTTATTTCATTCTCAGTGTATGATGCAGTTCTGTGTTGATCTTTAATCTGTGACATGTAACTGTCAATAGTTTTCCAGGGACCCCACGAGCCTCCTAGTAGAGCAGGGTCAGCGAGAGAATCCCTCCGAGGATACCAAGGTGGAAGGGCCTTCTTTTCGTGGTCCAAAAGTCTGATGACTAACTTTCGTACTACCGCGAGGTTAGAATGTGCAACATTTTCGTATTCACAAGGATCTGTTAGAAAGAAAGACGAAAAATCGACTGGATAAGATCGGTAGATATAACAGGCGAAGGAAACCGTTAAGACATAACTGGAGAGGTTACTGTGGTTTGACGTCTGGATATTTAAACAGAGAGAGCATTATGTCGTTGCTTGGGTAGTTTTACCAAAACTTAATACAGATTGACTGAATGGCTGTAAACTCAACATCGTCCAAGAGATTGCCCTCGATGTCAGCGGTCTGGTTTTCAGCTGAGTGAGTGGGGTCCCTAGTGGTTCCGGTTTGTTTCATCGAGATTTGCGCGACGTGGAGAAAATCTTATTCAGTCGACCTATCAGAATAGCGAAAAGCGAGTGGCGTCAATAAGCATACATCCTGTAGCTACTTGGTGCTTTATGCTTTCCTGCTAAACCAACCAGAAGCCAGTCCTGTTGACCACTGTTCGCTGGACCAATCCTGTTGCCTATTGCCAACTTCTATTTCGTTTGTTGTTTTGTTCATTTTACGCGTAATCATATCAAGGTCATACCAAAACTATCTTAGCTACAACAGACACCCAATAGGCAAACCCTGCAAGAAAGGCGTACCTCCATAACTGACATATCACTCAATAGAAAAAAAAAAACTTCAACTGTTGACGGAATAACTTCGCGAGCAAAGAAAATTTACACTTTTGACAGCAGAAATAAACGAGGGTTTTCAAAATAAGTAAAAATATGGTTAGCTACCTTTGCTTATGTCAAACAAACACGGAAACAAATCAGTATTACAATGCAGTGAGTCATTCTCCCTGATCTTGGGGAGCCCGCAGTCAATCACAGCACCAGGCAGCGTATGAGCCACAGCAGTAGTATCAGCACGACTCACACCACTGCCCAGCTCGTCGAGCACTTCATATCTGGGATGCCATGTGGTCCGAAAAACAGCATCCTGATTGATAACTAACTTGTACTGATCAACACGAATAGCTGCAAATTTCCGAATGGGGTCGATGTTGTGAAGAATCTACAAAATTAAAGCCGTTAAACAGATAAACAGTGTTTTTACCGTGGTCTACACACACCTCAGCTTAGGGTGGCTCAAAACGGTTTCCGGAACTATCCAAGAGTTTTACCGTGCCGTCTTTGAAATATAAGTACTTAAAGCTAAAATTGAGAGTGTTTTAACAGATACTACTGTTGATATGTCAGCATATAGTGTCACGAAGGTGATAACAACGTGCTCACTGATGATTGGGCAGTTTTGTGGTACCACGATTGTAGCATCAACTAATCAAGAGGACATATAATGACCCATCAAAATTTACGTCTCGGAAAGTGCTGGAAACTGTTGTGAGCTTTTTGAAGGCGTGATACGTATGACTCTAAGGAAGATACGTTTGACAGCTAAGGAAGGATTTTTAGTCTCCAGGACCAATAAGGACCAGAGAATCAAAATCAAAATCAATTTCAATGACGACTAGGTGCTATAGTATAACATTCCAAATTAATAATTATAAATCTTCGTTTGTAAGGATAGTAGTATTAATATCAAAACCTTGATTAACGTTTAGTACATCCATCGCTACAAAGAGTGATCTGGTAAAGGAGCATTTGTTGACTGGTCCCGTTCTTTGTTACAGAACCAACCATGACAAAACTCGTTACAACCTACGCAGAGGCGAAAGATGTTATACAAAATAACGAGGTATTTTCCTCTTATCTAGAGTTCTGACGTAAAAAAATATCCGTCAAAAGTGAGTGTCTAGGATGACAATAATAAAAAGGAACTTAAGCAAACCACAACGACGACGGCGACGAGAACGTCACTAAACAAAAAGTTTAATGAGCAAGGCAATGGCTGTGCACGTACGTTATAAAACTTTGTACATTTCTTTGCTGTCCTTTGCAAAACAGCAATGTGAAATGACCAAGTTCTGCGTAGTCCGAGGAACGCGAACGACGACGGCTAAGTTTTCGTATTTCCATTTGGAATTGAACGCTCTCGTTGCATATTTAGCTTGAGCACGTTGTTAGAGACATTGGCATGCTGAACAGATGTAGGTAACTGCGAATTTCGCTGGTAAAATATAAATGCATTTTTTACTAGGCGTCGTCCTCGGCGTCGCCGTCATCGTTGCGTAAGCTCCCTAATATCTAACAGGAACTTCTAGCAGACAGTTTCACTTTTTTTGCGAAGAGTTCTAAAATTTCCGTATGTGGTTTGACATGTACCTCTGTTCTTGGTGACGGTGCGCCTTGTGATATGGTGTCCCATACATTCAACCCATCAATCTTGTCCTGGATCTTTGTGACGTCACCACCAGCAAGATGATAGAAGGTTGGTAACCAGTCTGTGGCGTCAATCAAGTCATCACTCACACGGCCTCTCTTTGCTATCATATTGCTGTGAACAAACGCAACTCCACGAACTCCTCCCTCCCACAACGTATCTTTACCGCCTTTGAGGGGATAGTTGGAACCCTGGCTCCTTCGAATTAAGAAATCAAAATGTCAGTTGACGGAAATATAAAATCTCTAATAACTGTGATTACCTTTAGTTTTGTTTAATACGGGGAGGGGGGGTAGATGTCTGAAATATAACTTCATTTAAAGATAACGTCATAAATGATATAAGTGGCAGAGTACATTAGTAAAGAAACGGTTGGTTTCTCAGCTGTCCATATACTGAGCTGATATTCGAAGCAACATCAGGGAAGAACGAAGTGCTTTTGACGTCAACTGTGCGACGTTAGGGAAGTCAGATAGCTGTCTAAGGGAGATGTATTTACCAAATGACCCAGTGTAAAGTGAACCAAAAGAAATTGCCTACAATTTCTATCCCTGAGTGATTTTTTAGTCGATGAAAACAAGGCAATATCTTTGCTGTCTCTGAGTTATAATTAAGAAATGACTGACCACACCCATCAGCATGATTGGGGCACCTTCTAAATAAAAGCCATGAAAATAGGAACTGTTAAGAATGAAACAATTATACAAAATGTTACATCTAAGCAATAAAATGGGACAAAAGTCGCAGGTCACCGCAGAAGATGTGTGAGAATATTGTTTCTAATCGTTACTTTATCATTTCGTTTCCTTAGCGACATGACATGATAACCCTTGTTTTACATAGACCTTTTTATGGATCTATAAATGAACGAACCCATCAAATCCACCAGGTGCTCCTCCATTATCTGTGGTGAAGATGACAACACAGTTGTTAAAGATTCCTTTTGTTTTAAGGGCTTTAGTTATATTTCCAACAGACTCATCCAGTGAAGCCACCATGGCGGCATAGGTTCTTCTCTCATCTAATGAGAAGTATGCAAATTTCTAGCAAAGAACAAACAAAACATTGAGTCATTGCACAAGTCGAAACTATGTCACGTTTAGTTATTTCGAACAGGAAGAAGACAAAGAGATAATATGGAGACAAAGTTGTACGTAATTTTGTGCAGGGTCAGCGAACAGAACCCAACCATTAAATCTACTACATTTATTTAAAGAAAAAAATACGAATGAATCAGAAAATACGCTTTGCAGAAAGTTAAGAAAGGAGGTAATTAGTTTAAGTTATACTGATCTCAAGCTTATTTTGTCATAAAGGACCGAAGAAACGAAGTTTTCTTACATCAACCAGCCTCTTTGGTGCTTGCAATGGTTCCTGGATATTTCCAGAGTGCACAGCGTGATGTGCAATGTACAGGAAGAGCGGTGTTGACGGGTTGTGTCCAGCAATAATTTTCTCTGCTGCTTCTGTAAATAACTCTGTGTTGTAATGGCCTGACTCATTATGGACTGGCTGAAAAAATAAAGCCAATTTGTAACAAACCGTGTAAACAAACATTTCTGCATTGAAATACTTTTAAATGGCATTGGAATGTTTTGCATTGGCCGGATATTTTTTCCAGGACAGATTTTATGCCCGCGGGATCGGCGGTTAAGCTAGGCAGTCCAATCGAAGTCGAGTCGATACTTTTCCCATCTAATTTACTCGGATATCACGAAAGGCTGTTTGACAACAGTTCAGTTGCTTACAAGTAATATTAAATATATGAAGTGCAATCGCTAGTTTTCCAACATCATACCGTTGTTGTACTGCTGATAAAACATCAGTACTACTCTTTTTCGCTGTCTCAAGAGTCATACAACACTGACTAGGTAAACACCCCC